ATTTAGATGGCAGGTAAGTATATAAATAAAGAAATAAATATATTTTAGTAAATGAATAAGTAAATATTAAGAAAAAAATTGTTTTTTATTAGTTTTATGTTTATAAGTTTTTTTGTATAGTTTTTAGTTTGTTTTTATTTGTTTTTTGTTTTTTTAGAATTGAAAAAAGAGTTATCTACTTTTTGAACTTTTTAGAGTGTTGAAGAAAAAATGAATAAATAAATAAATGAACTTGAATGAATTTCAAGTGAAAAACGAAAAATTTGGTTTAAGTGAAAGAAAATGAATGAATTTGATTAAATTCTTTTTAAGAAAAATCGGGCATAGGTTTAGTGTTTTTTGAGTTTAAGTGAAAGAAAATGAATAAATTTATTTAAGTAAATTTTTAAGAAAAATCGGGCAGAGGTTTTAGTGTTTTTTGAATATTTTAAGAAATAAATAAATGAATAAATAACAAATAAATATATAAGTTTGAGCAAAGAAAAAATAAGTTTTATTTAAAGAAAAAATTGAATTTTTGAGCAGAGAAAGATGAATAAATGTTTTTGTGTTTTTAGAATTTGATTTTTAAAGAAAAATGAGCTTTTTTGAGATATGAGAGTGAAAATGAGCTTGTTTTTAGAATTTAAGAAAAAAGTAAACTATTTTTGGTGAGAAAATAGCTATTTTTTAGTTTAAGACGAGAGTGAACTTTTTTTTGTTTTTAATTGAATTTTGAGTGAATTGTAATATAATATTTGATTTTTAATGTAATTTTATTTAATTTAACAATAAAGTTAATAAATAAACACAGTAAAATTGTAATAAGCGACGCGTTTCGAATATTCTTCAGGCTATGAATGACTATCTCAAGATGGCTACCGTTCTATTTCTTTTCGTTCTTTCCTCTCGTCCAATGAAAAAATATCTCTCGTCCGCGGGGGATTACTTATGCACTTGGGGTAAAGAGGGCGTTAGCTATCACTACTATTATTATTTTCTCTCATTCTCAACTCAGGGGTGCTCAATCCCTATCACAATAAAAAAATAACACACAAAAATACAAAAAAAGGAAAAAATAACAAACTAACGCAAAATAATAACACACGAAATTACAGAAAAAAGGAAAAGGAAAACAACAAAACGACAAAACAACAAAACGAGGCGACATACAACTAAATAATACTAAAAATAAATGTTCTTTATTTTCTTCCTGTTGTTGTCGTCATAAATAACTAAAATAGAAAACGAAAAATGGGGAGGGGGTATCTTTTCTCCTTATTCTCAACTTATTCTCAACTTATTCTAAATTCTCTACTAAGGCCTTAATCGCTGACTTTGGGGGTTTCTTATGAACTAATATACTCTTTAAATTATCTGTTAATCTATGGGCAAAAATAACTGGGATATCGCTAAGCGGTGTTTCCTCAAATATCTCTGTCCAAATTCGGTGAAATCTTGACCCGAAACGAGCTAAATTTGGTGTATAGGTAAAGTGGAGTAAAATATCTTTGTTAAAGTTAATCCCGGGGTTTTCTTTTTTATTCCATCCTGGATCTAAGACCTTATCTCTAAACTCATTATGTCTATTGCTCAAGAGTAATTTTGGTCCCTTCTCTCCTGTTAAAGTCTCAAAAAATCTTCTAAAATGTTTATCGATAAAAATTGAGGGATACTTATTCAAAAGGAGGGTAATTCTAACTTTTTCTATCTCTTCTTCTAAATTTTCTCTATGGGAACATATTCTAACTGCTCTTAAAAGTGCTGAGAAGGGTATATTCTTCTTAACATGGGGCGGGTGTGCTGAGTTATATGGTAATATATAGGGTTGGGCAGCTAACTTTCTATAGACTTTCGTTCTAAAGTTGGGGACTTCTACTTGAACTCTTATATCTAAATAATCTACATGGGGGCCTGTCTCAAACGTTAAACCTATGTTCTTATCCTTTCTACCTAATTCTAATAAAATCTTTTCTATTTCTACCTTACTCTTCTTAGTGGTTAAAAAAATATCATCCCTAAATCTAAAGTATAACTCTCCCTCTCTCTCTTGGTCTACCTTAAACTGTTTTTCCCACTTTCTCATATAAACATCCGCTAAGACTTGGGTACATTCTGATCCCATGGGTCCTCCTCTAACTTGCTTATAATACTTAACCTTCTCTCCTGGTAACTGTAGGGCAAAGTACGCATTTTCTAAGACATGTCTAAAGAGGGTCCTTATCGTATTGATGGGAATTTCTCCATTAACCTTATTTATCTTATTCTCACCTAACATCTCACATACTGCTAAGATAGATTCTTGCTGGGGGATCATTGTATATAAATCTGTTATATCAAATGTATATACAAGTGTCTGGTCTGTAGTTTCAAACTTTTTTAGTTCCTTTAAAAGTTCCATACTATTTCTCAAACTATACGGGGTAAATTTATCAAAAATGGGTCTAATAATTTGATCTAGAAAGGCCGAGATTTTCTGTGTTGGTGATTTCATTCCCGAAACAATTGGTCTAAGTGGCTCTCCTACCTTATGATCTTTTGGGTTATAATAAAGATGGGGTAACTCGGCTTCTATTGGATCTGGTTTTAACTTCTCAAAATATTTCCCGGGTAGTAACTTTCTATTGACTAAATCCCTTAATAACTGCTCTGTCTTTTCTATCATGCTATCTAATGGGGATTTTTCTATCTCTTGGTAGGCGTCTGTCTTTTTCATATATGCTATCGACTTCTCAATATATGTCTCAGGCCTGTCAACGTGGAATACTTTTGATTTGTCTGTCTGTCTGAAAATTACTTTCCCCTTTTTTTGTTCTCTTTGAAAACGTTCTAAGGCCTTCTCTATTACTGGGTCTTGTGCTGTTCCCTCACTAATCTTACTTCTTAACTCTTCTTCTAATCTATTTGCGAACTTCTCAACTATAATGGGATTTTTATTCACTGTCTTAGTTTCTCTTCTCCATGCCTCAACTACCTTATCTTTCATTGCCTTAATCTCATCTTCTAATCTATCTAGAGCTTGTTTGGGGTTAACTGGTACAAATTTGGGGCCATAATTTAAGATTCTTCTCTCTTCCTCTCCTAAACTTAATACCTTATTATTTACTTGAGGTGGGAATCCGAGTGGGGTATAATGGGGATGTAAATTCTTAACCTTACTATTTCTTTCTATCCCTCTAGCTATTTTTCTATTATTCTTTGCGCCTTTCTCTCTAAAAAATGTAACTTCTTCTGTACTCGTCTATCTTGCCTTATCTGGATTGTACTTATTAGATCTTTATAGGCTGCCCTTATTCCTATTGGGATTTTCTCAACTAATTCTAAGTGCTCTTTCTCAGTCTGGTCTATCTCTTTTACCTTAGCTAATCTCATTATGGATGTTAAATCTAACTTACTCTTACGTATAACATTATTCCACTGCTCGCTATATTGTTCCCTATTCTCATTACTTAATACCTTACTTCTAAAGTGTAACTTATCCATAACATTAAGTGCTGGTGGTGGCATATTCTCATTTAGTCTACGATCCAACTTATCTAACTGGAATTTTAATTCTAAGGTACGTTCTAATGTCATTTGGGCCTTATCTACTAATTCTAAACTATTCTTATCGCCCTTACTTCTAATTATTCTTAAGGCTTTCTCTCTTATCTGGTCTAAGACTAAATTATCTAAACGTTTCTGGTTTGAGATTTTTAAAATATCTACTAAGGGATCTACACTGTTCTTAATATATTCTACTACTATCTTACGGACCTCTTCACTAAAATATTCCATATGTTGTTCTAACTCTTTCTCTTGTTGCTTAGCCTTTTTCTCTAAGAATTCCCTATGTGCTATAATATTCACTACACTAGCTGGCTGATGGAAGATCTTAAAATGGAACTTACACTCTATTGGGGTTATTGGGAAATTAACTATATTTAATCTATCTATATCTATCTCTTTGGAAATTACTGATGGGGAATGTACTACCTTATCCTGTTCTATCATTTCTACTGACTCGACTATTTCTTCCTGTTGTTGTTCTTTCTGGATCTCGATCTCAATATCTAACGGTTGGGGGCGTGCTACAGGTGTTCTCGGGGTACTCTGTCTTGGACTAACTATTGGCGGGCCAACTAAACCTGGTGGTGTTTTGGGTAACTCTATTATCTCTATTTCCTTAACTATACTAACATTCTTAGGTGTTCTATTCCCTGCTTCCTTACTACTATTCTCATTAACTAATAATACTGGACTACCTTCGGGTGCTCTTGGGTCATTCTCAATTGAAATCTTCTTTTTCTTTTTTGATTTGGGTTTCTTCTTTCTTATACTATTATCTTTTTCTGTTGCTGCCTTTTCTTTCGATGTTGGTGACAGACTTGTGTCTCTTAACTTTCTTTTTTTCTTTCCCTCTTCTTCGGTCTCACTACTACTCTCACTGGCTTCTCCCTTATTATCTGTGTGGCTACTCTCACTAGTCTGGCTATCATCATCGGTAATTGTCATATCTAAAATTCTCGAGTAAAATCTTTCTCTACGGGGTCTTGGCTGGGGGATCTCTTCTATTTCCTTCATTACCACGTCGTCTCCATCCTTATCTGAGTCTTCTTCCTTACGGCTGGCTACTTTTTCATAGATCTTCCATTTCTTACTTTCTTCCTCGAAGTGTCTCATCTGATAATAACTGTTGGCTATAAGAAATAATTTTTGTTTTTTATTCTCGGAATTTTGACTATGTCTTTCTCCCCCCTCTTTTTTTTCGGCTATGTCTTTCTCCCCCCCACTATTTTCTTTTTTTTCTTTTTCTAGCTGTGGTGGTGGTTGATTATCTCTGAAAAACTGATCTTTTGACCTTAATTTATTTGGATAAAAATTAATTAATGTTCTCGATGGTAAATTGGGCTGCTGCTGACTGTTTTGGTGTTTCTGCTGTACTATACTATCTGTTGTGACTGAGAATGGCTGGGTGCTATTAAAAACCTTATCATCTAAAAGAAAATTAGAAGTATCTTTTAGCCTCTTCATGCTTCGTTGGTAATGCTGTTGATTATCATTATTGTTTCTTCGTACTACTGAGGCGTATGTTGGTATTGGTGTTGATGTTAATATTGTTGGTGTTGGTACTGTTGGACGTTGTTGTTGGTGGTGGTGCTGAAATGAAAGAGAAGAAGAAAAGTGCGCGGCGGCACGGTTCGAGAACCATTCACGAATAGCTCCTTCATATTTCCATCGGCCAGTGGTAGTTGATGGATGTAACCCATCTTCTACACGCATATCCAAGGGTCCGAGACGCGCATCAACAATATCAAAATCTAATTTCTTAGATAAGAATCGGAGATGCTCATTGAATTGGTTATGCATTTGTCCGATTTGGGCCGCGGAGACGAATCTCGTTGGTTTCCACCGGGGTGACAAAGATAACCAACCAATGGTACGGATACCAGGGAATGACTGGCGAACAAAACGTATGAGCTCGCTGACTCGCTGCAGAGAAACATCTACTCCGTACCGCCCCACATCGTTAGTACCCAAACAAAAAAGTAAAAATTGTTTATCTCCTACCGTACCGCGACCTTCAGGTGTGTTTAACCAATTTATCATTTTAACAATATCACAACCTGATTCATAAGATAATTCAATGTTAATATAATTATTTTTTAATGCATAAGTTCTCACACGAGAACACATTGAATCGGATAGTATAATTCCCTTAAAATTATTATTATTATTATTAATATTGGGTACGGGTACCGGTGGACGACGATAATTATTTTTATTATTATTATTTTGTTGTTGTTGTTGGTAAATACGACGTGGTTTTATTGGTGGTGGACGAAATGGTGAACGTGATCGGGAACGAGATTGAGATGGTAATTGTGATAATATATGGAAACGGGTACGTGATGTTGGACGTGGTAAATGTTGATGATGTTGTTGATTTGGATGATACTGTTGGGCATGATGGAATGACCGGGTATTATGTTCAGATGGTAAATGAAATGGATTAATATCAAGTAAAGATGGTAAATTTTTGATATTATTATTATAATTATTATTATTGTAAAAATTGGGTCGACGATAATTATTGTAACGATTATAATGGTAATTTTGTTGTTGTTGATAACGATTATTATTATTATAAAATGGTGTTGGTGGTAAGTATTGACGTGGTGCTGGTGTAGGTGGTAAGTTAATATTGTTTGAACCATTATAATTTGTATAACCATTGAATGTTGTTGTTGTACCTGTTTGAAATTTATGAAAATTGTTGTACTTACGTTGGCCAGCCCCATATAATGCTGGTTTACGTTGAACTTGTTGAGTAAGATGTTGGTAAGTTGGTGGAATTGTTCGTGGTGCTGGTTTTGGATTTAAATATGCAGGACGCATTGGTGGAATATTAATATTTGGTAAATTTGATGATGTTGTTGAGGCATATGAACGTGGAATAATTGTAATTGACGACATTGTTAATTCTTTTTGTGAACTGAGTATTTGGTGATGGTTCAACTTTAAATATGTGGGTGTGATTTAAATAAATAAGCGAATTAACAATGATAATATTTAATTTAGATGGCAGGTAAGTATATAAATAAAGAAATAAATATATTTTA